TTTTTTTTTTTTTGGTACTGGGGATCAAACTCAGGTCCTTGCACTTGCGAGGCAGGTGGTGGAACCACTGAGCTAAATCCCCAGCCCTTCTTTGTGTTTCTTTATGCTCATCTAATTACTATCTTTGAGATTCAACTTCTTGTAAGATCTCAGCTGGGTGAGTAGATTGCGTATGGGGCCACTGAAGAATCTTTACCCTTCAAACTTGTGCATATCTTCACCAGTAGCTTAATTAACGTTGCATAGGTTTTCTTTTGAATACTTCTAGCAGCTTTCAACTTTTCCTCTAAACCAGAAGCTTTAAAAACAGATAAACTCTTCTTCAAAGCTGTGCATAGAGACTCAACCTTCTTGTTTTCCTAACTTTACAGATATGCTACTTTGTTTTTTGGTGTTTTTTTTTTGGTACCAGGGATCGAACTTGGGTCCTTGCACTTGCACAGCAGGCGGCAAAACCACTGAGCTAAATCCCCGGCCACAGATGTGCTACTTTGAAGTTTGAAACTGCAATGTTAGGTTATGATCTTTGCCTCTTTGCCTGTCTGCATGTGGGCAGTGTCTTCTCAATATACTTTCTACTTAAGGGACGTAAAAGTCCAAAGTTATGGGTTTTAAAAATTAAAAAAATTTTTGGCGGGGATTTAGCTCAGTGGTTTCACTGCCTGCTGCGCAAGCGCAAGGACCCGAGTTCGATCCCCGGTACCAAAAAAAAAAAAAAATTAAAAAAATTTTGAGGCAGTCTTGGTATGTTGTACAGGGTAGATTTGAACTCACTGCATAGCCCATACTAGTCTTGAACCTTCAGCAGTCCACCTGCCTCAGCCTCCGGAGTGCCGGAATTATAGATGTGTGCCACTATTCCTGAATACTCAAAGTTAGACTTTTATATACTAAAAGCTATATAAAATAATTTGGCAGTTATTCCATTTGAACATTCATGTTTGGTAATAAACTCTTGGTTTCTGTTTGCTTGGAGATGTTATTTTCCTCTCCTGGAATCTCAGCTAAAGGATCTAGGCAGCATCATGAAGTTATTATTCTGTGTTCATTTGATTCCTGTCTTAGTTACTTTTCTCCTTGCTGAGGCAAAATATCTGAAAGTTAAAGGAGGAAAGGTTTTATTTTAGCTTGTAGTTTGTAGAGGCTTCAGTTCATAGTTGGCTGAGGGGCATCACGGAAGAAAAACAGTCTATGGTGAAGCAGGAGGCAGAAGGCAGCTAGCAGTGAAGTAGCAAGCAGCAAGCAAGCAACAAGCAGCTACTTTCTTTCTGTCCCTTTTATCCTTTCAGGCTACCTACCCTTAGAGCGGATAGCACTCACACCTGTGGTGGGGCACCCTTAATCCTAGCATCACACCTTGAATCAATCCCAGCATCACATTCCATTTTTTTTTCCCCCATTAAGTTTATTGGTACATTTTAGCTATAAAATACATTTACATACATCATTGGGATCTTGTACTATTACATGAGTATCTTGGTTCTTATTTTTTTTCCCCTTCTCCTGCCCTCCCTTCACCCCCTCC